AGGGAACTGCACTTACATACATGCAGGCAAAACACTCATACACATAAAATAAAACAAACAGATAAAATATTTTAAAAAGAGTTCACAGTCATTCTTGACTACATAGCAGGTTCAAGGCCAGCCTGAGGCACATGAGACCCTGTCTCAAAAACAAAGCAATAAATAGACCACTCAGACTACTCCATCATCTGAAAGACAGTCAACCTGGTCATTACATTGAACAGGCAATCTCGTCATACTGAGGACAAGAAAACTGACAGGTCACATCAATAATCCAGCCCAGCAAGTGAGTTGACTGCTTGCTGTTGTAAAGGCCACTGTGTGGCTCCTGAGACAACCCAGTGAAACTTAAAGGCGGTGATCCCTCCTCGGTGGACTCAGGAGCTAGCCAGGATCTGACACAATGATACCACCATGAAGAGAGGCAGGTCCACCTCTGATGGCCTTCAGATATTTCCTATCAATAAGAGCTCTCTGTGTGAATGACACTGCTAATTGATCCCAGGGTCAGAAAAGCTCACTTTTGTCTATAGAAACAGAAACCTCAGTGGAGCACATGGTTGCCTAAGGTTAGGCAGCTCCCAGAACCCTTACAACTGGCTGTCACCATGTGCCGAGGTCAAGTTCATAGGCTTGTGGCCACGGGAGAGGCACAGAAGAGTCCTACAAGGGCATTTAAAGGGGACAGCTGTGCTCTCTTCGGTCCTTGTGCCTTCGGCCTGGATTTGGCATCTCTCTCTGTATGGCTCTAAATATCACCTAATAAGGGGATCAGAAGAAGAAAATAGGAGACTCCAGATCCCTGAGTTTCAGGGATGCTCATCCTGATGCTGTCTTTCCCCCTTGCAACTGTTATTAGATATTAAATTGGTTTTTTTAATGCTTTATGCTAGGATAGAGCGATAGCTCAGTCATTAAAGTGCTTGCCTTCCAAACACGAGGATCTGAGTTCAAAGCCCAGAACCCACACAAAAGGTTGGGTATGGTGGCATACACTTGTAATCCCCGCTGTGAGGAGGCAGAATCGAAAGAAAGATCACTGAGGCTTGCTGGCAAGCCAGCCTCGCCAAATCGGTAAGATCCAGGTCAGAGAACCTGTCTCAAAAAAATAAAGGGAAAAAAAGGTAGATAGTACCTGAGAAACTACAGGAAAGGTTGACCTCTGGTCTACAAACACATGTACACATGCCTGAACATACATGCATGCACACAAACATAATGCTATATATTGCCCATTCCCTAGTTTTATCACAAGATACTTTAACTCTAAAGAGAGTCATGGTACATCCCTGCTTAAGCAACACACAGATTCCCCAGTTCCTTCTTTCCCAAGCTGGACATGAACTTGAACGCAGAGCTCCCTCTGAATTGTTGACTCTTAAGATCCAAAAACAGCTGGGCATAGACTCCGGCCTAGCTTTATTATATTCCAATAGGTAAAGCTTCAATTAACTCAGGAATTCATTTTATTTTTCTTTTTTAAAGATTTATTCTATTATGTGTTTGTATGTGTATCTGTATGTGGCTATGTGCATGTGAGTGCAGGTGCCCACAGAGTCTAAAGGTTTCAGATCCCTCTGGAGCTGGCGTTATAGGTAATGGGGAGCTGCCCAGTTTGAGTGCTAGGAACCAAACTCTGGTCCTCTGCAAGACCAGTACATGCCCTTGAACACTGAGCTATCTCCCCAGCCCCTAGGAATCATTTTTATGTTTTTGTTGTTGCTGTTACCCATACTCTTACAAATGGATTATTAATTTGCATCACCCAAAGCCTCATCTCCTCAGTCTGGTTAAAAAGCAGCTTCAGTCTGCAGCACATGTGAGCCAATACACAGGGAGAGGGTGGCTGACCCAGCACAATCCCAGCATGAAGCGTGAAGAGGGCCTACGCCTCGGTAATGAGCCATCTGCAGTTTAGAGTCATTCCTGCAACAATCTCCCGTTCCATTTGTTTATGTTTTATTCATCATCTTGGAAGTACTTAGTGAGTGACAATGATGAGATTCAGAAAATACTGCACAGTGCTTTTTACAAAAGAAGAGAGATATTAATGGCTTTCAAGAGCTCAACTATTCAAATGAAAATATCCTTGAGCTACATTTGCTTGAATCTGTTTACATCTTCTCTATTCTTAGATATAATCTATTCCCTATTTCGTGTGAAAATGGCCTGATGACACCATGAGGCATTTCTGTTGATCTTGTTCATAACATTTGAAAATATAACCAGCAAAGTTCACCTGAGACCCATTGTGTTCAGTCCTCACAATCCAGTGAGCAAGTTTGCAGGTCCTGGGTGCCCTGAGACCTGTTACTCCACACACAGCCTTGGGTTGGGTTGCATATTTGACAAAAAGAAAGTTTGGCCTTTAGGAATCAAAGGAAGGGCCAATGAGATGGCTCAACAGGTAAAGGAGTTCGTTATGCAAGCCTGGAGACCTGAGTTTGAGACCTAGAACCCACAGAAAAGTGGAAAGAGAACAAACGCTACAAGCTGTCCTCTGGCCTCAGTGTACCCACAAAACAATACATTTTTAAATTTGTTTTTATTGAATTTTTGTGTATTTCATCTAGAATATCTCAATCTTAATCATTTTTATACCCCCATCCCCACCGGCACCCAACCATAGCCCCTGTCCCACTGGAACCCATATACTCTGTCATCAGTGTTAAGGCCCACTGTGTCAAGTCATTGTCCCCAGACATTCCCCAGTGCAAGTCCATCCACTGAGGTCTAGTCAGCCTATCTAGAGACCCTTGTTTTAAGAAGATCAGCTCTCCCTCACCTAGCAGTAATCATTTGCCACTATTTCTTCAGGTAAGATTGGGATCTGCTGTTCATTTCCCCACTTCTATGCTGGGTTTTTGTCTGCCTGAGTTTGCATGGGACTTGTGTATGCTGACACCATTGCCATAGAAGCATATGATTTAGAGAGAGAAAAAAAGAGGGGCTGGGAAGCTGGGTGTGGTGGTGCACGCCTTTAATCCCAGCACTCGGGAGGCAGAGGCAGGTGGATCTCAGTGAGTTCAAGGCCAGCTTGATCTACATAGTGAGTTCCAGGACATCTGGGGCTACAGGGAGACCCTGTCTCAAAAAGACAAAAAAAAGAGGGAAAAAAGAGGGGCTGGAGAGATGGTTCATTGGTTAAGAACTCTTGCTGCTCTTACAGAGGACCTGGGTTCAGTTCCCAGCACCCATATGAGGCTAACAACCAGCTGTAACTCCAGGGTATTTGACACCCTTTTCTGACTTCTGTTAGCCCTGCACTCATGTACACACACACACACACACACACACACACACACACACGCACACAATTAAAAATAAAAGTAAAATCTTTAAAAACAGAAAATAAAAGAATGAACGGAAACCCCAATCAGCCATGAGCTGTCAGCAGCTCAGGTTCATTGCAGAGGGCCCATGACCACTGACCACACTTTCTGATTCAAACACCAAAGAAACTATAGCCCATACAACTGGGTAGAACTTTAAAACCAAGTTAGTTAATCCCAAAAGGACAGGTCTAACTCTGCCAGCAGTTTATGGCTCTTTGTTGGGGCTTTAAACACCAACCTTTCCAGACATGGATTTATGGAACATGCCCAAAGATCCCTGTCTCAAACCTGGCTCTAACGCTCTTGTCCTTTTCTGACTCATTGTCAGACAGCATGCTTAGTAAACAGGGCTCCCCAAGTCACGCATTCTAAAAACTTTTCCTAGTAAATGACTTTTATTTAAAGATCATGATAGGCTAAATATGAGCTCTGCCCCCCTAGCACCTTCTAGTTCCTAGGAGGAAAGGAAATGCACACAGACACATACACACATATGCTCATATACATACAAACATAAACACATATGCACATATACATACAAACACACACACCCACATATGCATATATACAAACACACACATATACACATAGACCACACACATACATATAAACACAGATATACCACACATACATACATACACAAATACCATACACATATATACACTATACATACTTTCACACTACACATGCAATAAATATATACATATACAGACACATACCACATACACCTATACCCATACGTATACATATAGACATACCCATTACACATACATAAACATATACACATATACACATGTATGTGCATATGTGTGTATGCATGAACACACATACATTTGTATTTGTACTCTCATATACATGGTGGCATATGTACACATATATACACACATACACACATGAATGCACATACCAGAATACATACACTAAAGTGAACACATACACACACATCCTGGGGAGGTCTCCTCACACTAACCCAGGTATCTAGTCTGCTTGAAAGATATGTTGCTATTATCATTTTACTTGTGAAGAAAGAGTTTCCAGAATCTGTTAAACTTTCCATTTGATACTGCCTTTTTCGATGTTACTCTGAATTTTAGGAACTGCATCATGAGAAATTCCCCCACTTTTTAAGAACTTTTTCCACTGCTCCATGTGGACTAGAGCAGCATCTCTGGAGACTCTCACGTACAGCCCTCAGGTGGCCTCAGTTCTCATAGTGAACACAGCTCTTCTGACATGCCAGCACCTATGCATGGTGGCACCAGAGTCACTCCCATCCCTCTCTGAGGGAGAACCCTCAGAGGACACATGCCCAGAGGAGCCCTGGCCCCTTCTTAACTTCCCAGAGTCAGCCTGTGACCTGCATCCCCGTATCCCAGAACCTGAGCCCAGGGAAAGAAGAAGATGCCTGCACATGGGAAGGAAGCTCCACAGTCCTCCAAGTCCATCAGCAACACAGAACAGAGAATGGGGAGGGCTCAGAAAAAGGAGTCACATGAACACATAACTAAAGTTGATGGGTAATTCCACCCCATTAGCCAAGCCTCTTGCCATATGTCTCCCACAAACAGGCTGTGTGTTCTATGATCATCACAGTGAGGCAACCTGGCCACAGGACACAATAATGCCATCACTAACTTGCCACCAGGCTACGGCAGTGCTACTTACTGTGGGTGGCCTCCTGGAGGGCCAGGTCCCTTCTGCACCTGCTGTAGTCCTCTTTGACACTCCCCAGCCTCCTGATGGTCCTGGAGCTGAGTGCCAGCAGCTTGCCCAGGAGCACCTCCAGCCCTTCCCGCTCCGACGACAGTGCCCAGATCTCCTCTGAGAGCTCCTTGGCTGTGCAGAAGTGGCTCCCTGCAGCAGAGTGGGAGAGGGGGGAAAGGGGCTTGCTGACAACACACCCATGGAGGGAACAAGCAGCTGTCATGCACCAGCGGTGGAAGCAAAGGGCAGTAGCTCTCAGGACAGGACAGATTTTCCCACAGTGCCCTGTGGAGGAGGCAGGAAGGCTATCCAACTTCCTAGAAAACCTCCTTTCTCTTTAACACTTTAATTTTATTATATCTGTCCTAGGCAGATGTGTCAACCTGTGGCCTATGGGCCACATGCCACCCAGAATAACTATACGTGAGGGCCCAAACAAAATTGTAAACTTACCTAAAACATTACAAGGCTATCTTGTGATTTTTAAAATTTTCTTTGAAAGTTTCATAATTTAAAATATATATTTATTATTATTTTAGGAGTATGAGTATATTGCCTGCATGTATGTAAGTGCACTCATGTCATACGATGCTTCCAGAGATCAGAAAAGGGCATCAGATTCCCTGGAACTGGAATAAAGGACGATTGTTAGCCGCCATGTGGGTGCTGGAAACTGAACCCAGGTCCTCTGCAAGAGCAGCCAGTTCTGAGCCATCTCTCCAGCCCCCAAAACTTTCATATTTTTATACAATGTATATTGATCATATCCATCCACCACTACCTCCCTCCAAATCTCCCTGGTGCCCCCCACCTTGCCTTTCTCTTGAATTCATGTCCTTTTTCATTGTTATTAATAATTCTGAGTCCAGTTAGTGCCCCTCATATGCACACAGGTATGCGGCTATCCTAGTTTGTTTCTCCATTGCTGTGACAAAACACTCTGACCACTACCAACTTGGGGGGGGATGGGTTTATTTGTCTTACATCTCCCAGGTCACAGTTCAGCAGGGAGCTCAAGGTAGGAACTCAGGGCAGGAACCTGGAGGCAAGAGCTGGAACACAGGCCATGGAGGAACGCTGCTTACTGGCTTGCTCTCCTGGCCCCTGCTCAGCCTGCTTTCTTATGCAACACAGGCCCACCTGCCCAGGGGTGGCACCACCCACAGTGGGCTCGGCCCTCCCGCATTACTCATCAATGAAGAAGATGCCCCACATACATGGCCACAGGCCAGTTCAATGAAGGCAATTCCCCAATTGAGGCTCCCTCAACCCAGGTGTGTCAAGTTGACACTAAAGCTATCCAGCACAGCGGCCATCTACTGGGCCCTGGGCAACCTACTAGCAGACACATTCCCAAAGGACAGTAACTCCATCTCCCTCAGCAGCCATCAGCTGGCAATAATAGCTCCTCCTATAGGGGTGGGGTCTCGGGGCCCCTCCCTCATCCATGTTGGAATTCTTTGTGACTGAACTGTGAGGTTCTCAAGTGTGAACTTTGTAGATGACAGCATCATATTGCAATGTCAAAAGGTTGGGCATGCCTAGAGGGATTCCACTGGCAAGTTCAGAACCTCTGAAAATGACATAAAGATGTCCAGTGGGACTTAGGAAAGCCCTAGGTATCACTCCACTCAATACCCAAATGTCCAAGGGCTGGCAGAGCCCAGCAGGGTGGAGAGGAACTGGGCCTTGTGGTTAGCCTGGAGCTAAATACAAACCCTTGTGCCCCGCTTCTCAAACTGCATGGTGCAGAACAAGAAAATAAGCACATCTGGCATAAACATGCTATGAAATATGATTGCAATAACACCTGAATCGCAGGCAGGTGGCTGCGTAAACTGCAGGTGGCTGGACACATAAACAAGAAATGCTACAAAGCACTGAATGAAAACCTCGGCATGCCAAGTGCAGTGAGGTTGCAGAGCATGAGGTCACTCTATGAAAATCAATCATGTGTCTACACAGAGGCAGCAGACCCCTGCAAGATGAACTTTCTAAAATATAATTTATAGATATTTTAAGACTGAAGATACTTAAGGATGACTTTAAAGAAGCCTGCTCACCACAGTGAAAGCAGTTTTTGGAAACCCACCAAGACGAAGTAAGACTTAAATAATTACAGAGGTAAGCCATAAGCGTCCATTGGAAAACTTAGTATTCCTGAGGCTTCCATTTTCCCCAGAACGATTCGTAGATTTAATACGATTCCAATCAAAATTTCATGAGGCCCTTTGGTAGAAATAGACAGGCACATGTTCTAAAATGTAAAACAAAAGACAAAGGTCTAGATAAGCCAGAGCAAACAGCCTATATTTCAAGACTGGAATAATCACTGCCATATATCAGGATGATATGCACAGGAAAGTTGACAGGTACATCGGTGGATGGAACAGAACAGGAGATCCTAAAGTAGGTGTGTTCCCATAGAGACAACTGGTTTGCAGCCAGAGTGCAAAGCAAGTCAGTGAGGAAACAAATACCTCCACAAATGGCACTGAAATGAATGGTCATTCATGAGAGAAACCCGGAGTCATTCCTCCAACACACACAAAATACAGGAGAGAGGAATTATGGACACAGTGAAGTTAAAACAATAAAGCTACCAGAAGGAAATTAGAACGATCAACTTACTGACTTTGGAGTTGGCAAAAGCATTGTGGAGGACACAAACCACCAACGATAAAAGAAAAACCCTGAAAACCTGACTTCATTGAGATTATAAGCTTCTGATTATCAAAGGAAGATCAGCAGGCAAGCTAGAAGGTTGACCTTGACCAGTAATCTTAGTATCTGGGAGGTAGAAGCAGGTGGATCAGAAGTTCAAGGTGAGCCTCGGCTACATGGCAAGTTTGAGGCCAGCCTGGATTATATAAGACTATCAAAGGGAAAGAAAAGAAAAAAGAAGAGGAAAGAGAAGGGAAGAGGAGAGAAAAACAGAGAGAAAAGGAAGAAGGAGGGGACAGAAGAGAGGGAGGGGGAGGGAGAGGAACAGGAGAGGGGAGGGGAGAGAGAGACAGGGAGAGAGAGTTATGTCAGACTGGAAAAGACACTGGCTGCAGTTATCTGACAAGGGACACAGTTCCACAATTGGACAAATAACACCATTGAAAACAGACAAAAGACGCACCAGGCCTTTTACAAAGTACCATAAGCAGATGGCCAATGAACATATGAAAATGTGTTTGACAATATTAGTCACTAGGAAGTGCAAATAAAAGCCAGAGTCCTCCCCAGTCCATTTAAATGGTTGAAAGCAGCTAAGCTGACAACATCAACACGGGCAGGGGTGTGAAATTACCCAACTCCCAAACATGCAACAAGGTATAACCCTACAGAGAACAGTTCTTCCAGTCGGTCCTAAAGTTAAGCACACCCCTACCCTACAGTCCAACAATTCTGCGTATAGGTGTACACAGAGGACTGAAAGCATCCATCTAAAGCACTCACATTTGGGGCTGGAGGGATGGCTCAGCATTTAAGAGCACTTGCCCTTGCTGAGGACCTAGGTTCAGGTCCCAGCACCTACATGCCAGTTAACGACTGTCTATAACTCCAGTTCCAGAGGATTTGACACCCTCTTTGGGCCTCTGCAGACACTGTACACGAGTACACATGTGATGTGCTTAAATACATTCAGGCAAAACACACAGATAAAATTTTTTTTAATTTAAAATTTATTCAGCCATAGTCACTGAATTAGCTATAAGCCTTCTTTCCTTTAATTTCATACCTTAGAAGAAAGGTTAGTCCTTGAACTGTTCACTCTAAGATGCATCAGTTTTTGACACTGTAATACCTGAGACAGGGCGTGTCTTCCAGCACCCAGGGGCCAGGAGAAAGTGAGGAAGCAATTGTCCTTAGTGGATGCCTGTGGCCACCAGGTATTACACATGTTCTAAGGTTAACCTGTTATGGGTTGATATGGATGTAAGATCAGGAAAGAACATGCATTGAAAGATTGAAGCATGCTAAACCAGGCATCTATATCACCCCCTACCATAAGACTCATGGAGAAAGACGGGGCAGAGAGAATGTCAGAGTCAGAGGTTGGGAGGGGAGCTGTGAAACGCTGTCCTCTGCACATGACATGGTACCTGCACTCAGGAACTCACAGTCATTGTGGTTACCTGCGCAAGGTCACCACAGGATCACGCCAATTAGCTCTTCAGCATGGATGGGGGAGGAGCTCATGAGGCCCCACCCTTAAGTGCAGAGCTATTGACAGTAAATGGGAAGGGAAAGCCATTTCTCTTCAAGGGCGTAACCTTTGTTGAGCTTCCCATGCTCCAGTGCATAACCACACATCCATGCTTATGCAACAAACCCTAGCTGAACTCAGAGGATCCTTAAAAAAAAAAAAAAAGACGTGAAGACATGAAGTAGGATGAGGCCATATCACGAGAAAGAAGAGCTGAGAGGGAGAAGGGGGGATAGGAAAGGGTACAGAGGGGGATGAATATGATCAAAATATATACATGCATGAAATTGCCAAAGAATGGAAAACAAATAAAATTCTTACTCAGAGGATCCTTAAAAAAAAAAAAGACGTGAAGACATGAAGTAGGATGAGGCCATATCATGAGAAAGAAGAGCTGAGAGGGAGAAGGGGGGATAGGAAAGGGTACGGAGGGGGATGAATATGATCAAAATATATACATGCATGAAATTGCCAAAGAATGGAAAACAAATAAAATTCTATAGGTCAGCAGCTACGAGGGCTGGGGAGACAGCTCAAGTGCACAAGCACAAGGACCTGAGTTCCATGCCCAGCACACAAGGAGAAAGCTGGATGTGCTGACAAGCCTGTAAGCCCTGTACCCAGAGGACCTCTGAGGCTCACCAGCCAGGCAGCTCGGCCTAATTGTCAAGCCCCAAGTCCCAGTGTCAAAAACAAAATGTGGACAGTTCCTGAGGAGCAGCATCTGAGGCTGACCCCTGGCTTCCACACGCATGCGTTTGTGTACCTGCATGCACACGCACATGCACACACACCAAAAATCCCAAACAAACAAACAAACAAACAAACAAATAAACAAGCAAACAAACAGTCTCAAAGCCTGATGTCAGGAGCCTGACAGAAAGTCCTTCAGAAGTCAGCTATTCATTCCTGGAGGAAAACGCCTTACCCCAGTTGCTCTGATGGCAGAGAG